TACCATATACACACATACATGTACTAAAATACCATATACCTATATAGCATATAATCTTTTCTTTCTTTTTCTCTTTTTCCAAGACAGAGTCTCACTCTGTCAACCCAGCTGGAGTGCAGTGGTGCAAACCTCGGCTCACCGCAACCTCTGCCTCTCAGGTTCAAGCAATTATTCTCCTGCCTCATCCTCCTGAGTAGCTGGGATTACAGGTGCACGCCACCTCCCCAGCTAATTTTTGTATTTTTAGTAGAGACGAGGTTTCAGCATATTGGCCAGGACAGTCTCGATCTCTTGTCCTCGTAAAAACCTGACAACCTATGGACTGGTTTTTGTATGGTTGGTTTTACGTGTCTGTCTGGCCCGAATAGAGTTTTGGGTCTTTGTTTTTGTTTTTGTAGTGCAGGGTGTCACTCTGTCACCCAGTCTGGAGAGCAGTGATTCGATCACAGCTCACTACAACCCTGAACTCCTGGGCTCAAGCAATCCTCCTGCCTCAGCCTCCCAATCTGTGGTAATTATAGGTATGAGCCACCATACTTGGCCAGTTTTTGTTTTTAATGAAACTGATTGGCAGTTTTTAAAAACTAGGAGAAATCTGTAAAAATCTGGAGTTCCGTTTTTCTTGACAATTCAGTCTGACAATGCAGGCTAAACTGGCAAGAGCCACATCCTTTACAAATCCCAGAATGTCACCTTGCCCCGGCCCCAAAAGCTGATATATCCAAAAGGCACAGAAGACAAACTTTGCAGCAGACAGGACTGAGCTGGAAGGCCAAACTCTACCACAAACCATGGGTGATCCTGGGGTAGGTAACTTGCTTCTCTGTGCCCCAGTTTACATTTCTGTGAAACAGAGATATTAACTACTTTAAAGGTTGCTGTCGTTTTTTAAAAAAATAGTTTTATTGGCTGGGCATGGTGGCTCACACCTGTAATCCCAGAACTTTGGGAAGCTGAGATAGGCAGATCACCTGAAGTTGGGAGTTCAAGACCAGCGTGACCAACATGGAGAAACCCCATTTCTACCAAAAATACAAAATTAGCGGGGCATGGTGACACATGCCTATAATCCCAGCTACTAAGGAGGCTGAGGCAGGCAAATTGCTTGAACATGGGAGGCAGAAGCTGCAGTGAGCCGACATCACGCCATTGCACTCCAGCCTGGGCAACAAGAGCAAAACTCCATGTCAAAAAAAAAAAATTATTACAGAGAGTAAAATTCACTTTTGGGGGAATACAGTTCTATGAGTTGTAACACCTGCATATATTTCTGTAACCACCACCACAACGAAAACACAGAGCAAGTCCATCTCCCAAAGAATCCCCTCCTAATGTGGAGGCGAACCCTCCTCCACCAAGCCCTGGCTATCACTGATCTGTTCCCCCATCTCTGTAATTCTGCCTTTTCCAGTATATTTTTGAAGGAAGTCCTGTTTTATTAGCTATAATAATTTCATCATTATCCAAGGTGCTCCCTCTCATTCTCCCTGTCTATGAAAAGAAGTTCCACAGCCAATAAACATAATCAAGCCCCATAAAGCATTTGCTCGGTCCCTGGGTGGTGGCTGGAGAATTCCTTAGCATTGCCCTCTTTGTTCCAATCTCATTCCCATCCACGGCACTTCCTTCGGTCCCTAGCTGGTCACTGCAATCCCAGCCCACAAAACGCCCACATTCTCAATGCTCTTGTTCCTGCTGAAGAAAATAAGAAGTGTGTCCTGGGCCTCGAAGAACTCCCAGAGGAGACACAAGAGAGCCTCGGATCCCCTGGTACCCACCCACCACCATGCCACACGCCAGGAAGAACCCTTTCCCTCCCACAACGGATCAAGCCAAACGAAAGACCCACAGTGTCACGAGGAAGCCCAGTGACCACCCAGTTTCAGGAAACAGCTATTCTTGACAAGCATGACTGGCAGAGAGGAAATGTCACCGTGAGAACGCCTCCAAACAGCGTTTCTTTTCAGGGTATGGAGGTGGAAGGAGGGCGTGAGAAAGCAAACCACATTTCTGGGAACAATGAATGTTCCCAAGGAAGCACATGGGTCCCTTTTCACTCAAGTGAGGAACCAACCAATTGGTCTGAATGGGAGCCCCGGAAGCAGCGGCCCTGACCATCCTATTACATCTGGGCTTCACTCACAGGTGAGCCAGGATGGGAGCCAGGCTGTGCTCCAGCCCTGCTGCTTCTAGGATCCTGGGCACCCCATGCCTCCTCTCCAGACCCCCGTTTTTCTCCATCTGAAAACGGCACTGTAGGACAAGATGGACCTGGAGGGTACCAACCACCAAAGGCGTGGAATTCACACAGAAGCATCACTGGGCACAGGTGGCCGCCCTCTCTTCCTGAAACCCCCACACTGGAGGCTCAGGGCCTGGTGTGGCTCCTCCTGACCCGCCCTCCTTTTCAGGCTCCACCCCTTGCTTCTCCTCCTCCCCGTGCTCAACGTCCCAGGGCCCTCACTCCTGGCTCAATGCTCTACCCTTGACTCGAAACCTCAGTAAGCCAATAGGGCTGGAGTCTTGGTTGAGTGGGGCCATCCTATGCGCTGGGGGATGCTTAGCAGCAACTCCGGCCACCAATCATTCGATGCCAGCAGCATCCCCATCACCCCCTCAAAGTCATGAGAACTGCTGCTCTAACCCAATCCCACGTACACATCGAGATTCCCAGAATTACACCTCCTGCCTGAACCTGGCCGCAGGCACCCTACTTCCTGCCTCCAGCTGCCCTGCCGATGTCTCCACAGAGGGATGTAACAACGGCTCAAATTTACAGAATTTAAACTGGACCCTTGGCCGCTGCTCCTGCCGTACCCAGATCTATCAGCACAATTACTGACACAATCTAGAAATTCTCTGCTGGGGGGCCTGTTCTACAGGTTGTAGGACGTGCAGCGGTATCCAAGGCCTCTATCCATTAGATGCCAGGAGTACCCCAACCCTAGGTGTGACAATCAAAAATGTCTCCAAACATTGCCAGGGGGTGGGGCAGGTGATACAAAATTGCCCCCCGATGAGAATGACTGATGTGGACTATTCTAAACACAGCAGAGGGTGTGAAGTCCATTCACAACCCTCTTGCACTGAACCCTCCACACCAGGGTCTGCGAGACCCCCATACTATCTCCGACTCCATGGAGTGGCCTCACCCTCACTCACTGTGATGCAGCCACCCTGGCCTACTTGCTAATCCTACAACACACCCAGTTACTCCTACAGCACACCAACTTCATCCTTACCCTACGGCCTTTACAATCTCTTATTCTTTCTAGAATCTTTTTCCTCCTAATACTGGCCTGGATGATTTTTCTTGTCATGTAAACTTCAGCTCAAATATCACCTCCCAAAGAGGCCCTGTTTAACCCCTCCACCTAAGTGAACTATGACATCTGCCTCCCAACTTGTCCATCTATCACCTGACCAGACATCTGTCATGGTGTGAACTGCCTATCTTGGTGTGAACTGTCTCTCATAGTGTGAATTGCCTTGATTATTTTCTCTGCCTTTCTAAAAATCTAACCTCTACAACAGCAGGACCTTAGCAGACTTGCTTTCCACTCTATCTCCATGCCTAGAATAGTGCACAGCACACAACAGATGTTCAAGAAAAATCTGTGCCAGGTGCAGTGGCTCAGGCCTGTAAGCCCAGCACTTTGGGAGGCCAAGGTAGGTGGATCACCCAAGGTCAGGAGTTCAAGACCAGCCTGGCCAACATGGTGTAACTCTGTCTCAACTAAAAACACAAAAATTAGCTAGGCAAGATGGCAGGCGCCTGTAATCCCAGCTACTCAGGAGCCTGAGGCAGGAGAATTGCTTGAACCTGGGAGGCGGAGGTTGCAGTGAGCCAAGATCACGCCATTGCACTCCAGCCTGGTGGACAAGAGCAAGACTGAGTCTTAAGCAAATAAACAAAAAAAAAATCAGTAGTGAGGATGCAATGAATCAATCAATAACGAATCCATTACAGGCCAGGTACAATGACTCACGACTGTAATCCCAGCAGTTTGGGAGGCTAAGGTGGGAGGACTGCTTGAGGCCAAGACTTCAAGACCAGCCTGGGCAACACAGCAAGACCCAATTGCTACAAAAAATTTAAAACTTAGCTGAGTATGCAGCTAAAAACTAGCTAGGCCTGTAGTCCTAGCTACTTAGGGAGGCTAAGGCAGGAAATAGCTTGAGCCCAGGAGTTCAAGATTGCAGTGAACTATGATTGCACCATTGTACTCCGGCCTGGGTGACATGCCATCTCTAAGAAAATAGTTATCATCACCATCATCATCATCATTATTCAGGAAATGAAGACCAGAATGTAAGAATTAGAAGAGAAGCAAGGAATATCAGAGTATGCTGTATGTAGGAAAGGTAACTACTGATTCCTTCTACTTGCTTCTGTGCCATGGGTGTAATTTACAAATAGGAGAACTGGGTTACTGTGGTCAAGGGCAAATGAGGTGAAAACACTGGCCCGGAGTACCTCTACATAAAAGCACTTAGGGCCATGCACGGTGGCTTATGCCCGTCAGACCCCAGTACTTTGGGAGGCAGAGGTGGGCGGATCACCTAAGGTCAGACCAGCCTGGCTCACATGGTGAAACCCCACCTCTACTAAAAATAGAAAAATTAGATGGGCATGGTTGTGCACACCTGTAGACCCAGCTACTCGGGAGGCTGAGGCATAAGAATCACTTGAACCTGGGAGGTGAAGGTTGCAGTGAGCCAATGTCGCACCATTGCACTCCAGCCTGGGCAATAAGAGTGAAACCCCATCTCAAAAAGAAAAAAGAAAAAAAAAAGGACTTTGTATGTCAATAGGCCCCAGGAAATCCCTTACTTGTTCTTTTCATAGATCTTTTCTCACCTTTATCCACTGAAACTTTTACATTTTTTGCATAGAGAAAAGAGTTGAACGTTCAAGAACCAAATACAAAAGAGGAGACGTTATTTGCAAAAATATCCACAGTTGCCACAGAAAGTTACCGGCAAAAACTGTAACTGACCCAGGTTAAGATTCAGGATGCTGCCGGTGGTGGATGTTTTGTCCGTTTTCGTCGTGATGGGAGTTGACAGTTGAGGAGAGAAGGGCTTTGGGCTGCCGGATAAACTCCCTGCTTGTCCCGCCTTGGTGGAGGCTGGTGAAGCTGAAAAAGTAGGGCATTATTAAAAGACGGGTTTACAAATAAACAAGTCAAACGTATAGGTGTGGTGCAGGGAGAGAGTGGAGAAATAATGACATTGTGGCCGATACAGCATCACAGAAGGGGTGGGGCGGGGCGTGGCAGGCTGGCCATTTATTTTCAGCAAAGGGCTTTAACCCGACGTGAAACCATTAAAGCTACAAATGAGGAAGGTTTCTCCAGTTATTCTATTAACCACAAAGCTCTAAGACAAATCGGCTAAGCTGCCACTGAAATTGGTTTGGCCCATTCATGGGTATAAATCTCAACATAAATAGCGATTAAACCAACCCCTACATGGTCCAGATGTGGAGAACGGGAGCCAGGCTTACAAATGCGTGTCATCCATTTGTAGAAAGAGAGACGCTGCGGTCAGCTCACACGTGGCCACTGCACCTGCCAGGGACCAGCTCGGCCCCTTGGGAAATCTCCAGCTCCCATTTCAAAGGCTCTTGAGGCTGTGTGAAGCCAACTCCAGTACCAGATGGAGTGACGGGGACATTGGTAAATTATCTCCTTCTTTACTGTATTTCAAACTTTTACAGGAGACAGAACCGTACCCACGCCTAAGGCTTTTAGAAATACCTTAAAACGAACTATAACCTGCCTCTCCTCTCTTTTCACAGGGTTAGGACCAGAAACCACTTACATTTTAAAAAGCAGAGAGCCTCCTAAAGATCCTTTGAATTCTGCCGCTTTGCCCTCGCCACTCCATGGTACTAAGACTGCCCTGTTAATGCCCATTTAAAAACAGCTGGGACATCCGGGCATGGTGGCTCATGCCTGTAATCCCAGCACTTTGGGAAGCTGAGGCGGGCAAATCACCAGCAGCCTTACCAATATGGAGAAACCCTGACCCTACTAGAAAAAAGAAAATACAAAATTAGCCAGGCATGGTGGTGCATGCTTGTAATCCCAGCTACTCGGGAGGCTAAGGCAGGAGAATTGCTTGAACCCAGGAGATGGAAGTTGCAGTGAGCCAAGACTGTACCCCTGCACTTCAGCCTGGGCAGCAGAGCGAGACTCCATCTCAAAAAAAAAACACACACATACACACAAAAAAAAACAGCTGGGACTAAAGGCAGGACTGACAACAATGACAACCAACTCTTCCAAGACAAGAAACATTCTGAGCTGATCTGGTCTTTGAAAGGAATTTGTTGATGGCAAATTGGAGTTAGGGACTGAGACTCCTCAGGGACTTCAAAAGTGCTGGGGCACTTGGGTGGGCACTTGCCTCAGTTTCCCCATCTGACAAATCGGAAAACTCAGAACAAGGCTTCAGTGTGTTAAAACTCACATACCGGTTGGGTGTGGTGGCTCACGTCTATAATCCCAGCACTTTGGGAAGCCTAGGCTGGCGGATCATGAGGTCAAGAGATCGAGCCCATCCTGGCCAACACACTCTACTTTTAGTAGAGTGAAACCCCATCTCTACTAAAATACAAAAATTAGCGGGGCACGGTGGCGCGCACCTGCAGTCCCAGCTACTCAGAAGGCTAAGGCAGGAAAATTGCCTGAACCCGGCAGGCAGAGGTTGCAGTCAGCCGAGATCGCGCTACTGCACTCCAGCCTGGCGCCTGGCGACAGAACAAGATTCTGTCTCAAAACAAAAAACAAAAAAAAATTAAATACCAGCTCGGCTGGTGAATCCACAAGAGCGAGGCAGCTCTGGTGCCAGGACCTGTGTGCACTACTGTTAATGTAACATAGTGGGAAAGACTCCAGACGTAAAGAGGCCTGGATTCAAGCATGGATCAGAAGCCAGACACTGAGGATTCAAGTCCCAGCTTAGCTGTTGCCCTGCTGTGTAACCCAGGGCCGGTTACTGGCACCTCTGCCTCTCTCTTCCTGGCAGCAGCAAAGAGAGACACTAATAATATGATACAAAGGGATGATAACAGTAGCTACATCTCATCAGGCTGCTGTGAGAATTCAATCAATCATCCGAACAGTGCCTGGCATCCAGTAAGTACTCTGTTACTGTTTGCTATTAGAGTGGTTTTATTTTCTATTTCCCCATTAACCTCTAAGGCTTTGGGGTTATCCTCTGAACCAGATTCTCGGCTATGAGCAATTCTTCTCCCCAGGGCTACACGGGGCAGTGCATGCAGACATTTTAGGAGGGTGGGGGGTTGCTACTGGCATCTGAGAGGCAGAGACCAAAATGCTGCAAAATCTTCTACAATGCACAGAACGGTCCCCCACAAGAAAGACTTATCTGGCCCCAAATGTCAACAGTGCTGAAACTGACACACCACATAGGGATGGAGGAGGCCATGCAGCTGGGAATCCTTTTCCTCGTCTGGAAATGAGAAGGGAGTGAGGATCAATGTCCTCGATCTATGCCAATTGGTGCTCAGCAAGTGCTCAATAAACATTAGAAATTGTCTTAAGAAATAAGTTTTTCGATGCCAGAACTGTTGTATAGAAAAAAAAAAAGAAATGTTTTGTTTTTGCTTTTGCTTTTTTGAGTCGGAATCTCGCTCCTCCGCCCAGGCTGGAGCGCAGTTGTGCAATCTCAGTTCACTGCAACCTCTGCCTCCTGGGTTTCAAGCGATTCCTGCCTCAGCCTCCTGAATAGCTAGGATTTTACGCTCCCACTACCACGCCTGGCTAATTTTTGTATTTTTAGTAGAGACAAGGTTTTACCATGTTGATCAGGCTACTCTGGAACTCCTAACCTCAAGGGATCTACCTACCTCAGCCTCCCAAAGTGCTGGGATTACAGGTATGAGCCACTGCACCCAGCCTATAATTAAGTTTTTAAAACAATAAATCTGTTTTACTGCAAGGATTAATAGAATTGGCCTAGCACATGGCATGCCACATTCCTTGGGGGGCTGTTATTATTATTACACAGTCCTATCACTGGTACTGTCAGAAGTAGAACTAAAGTGTTTGTTATATAAAGAAACAAGAATAGGCCAGGTGTGGTGGTTCACCCCTATAATCCCAGCACCTTGGGAGGCTAAGGTGGCAGGATCACTGGAGCTCGAGAGTTTGAGGCTAGCCTGGATAACAACATGGCAAAACCTAATATCTAATAAAAAAAAAAAAAAAAAAAAAAATTAGCCTGGTATGGTGGCACAGCCTGCAGTCCCAGCTACAAGGAGACTGAGATGGGAGGATCCATTGAGCCTGGGAGGTCGAGACTGCAGTGAGCCGTGATCACACCGCTACATGCCAGCCTGGGAGACAGAGGGAGACCCTGTCTCCAAAATAAATAAATAAATAAATAAATAAATAAATAAATAAATAAAATCCAGGCATTTTAAGAGAAGTAGTACCAATCAAATGTTTAGCATTAGCATTTTTAACATTCTTCATTCATTTATGTTCTACCTCATTCCAAAAGCAATTTGCAGCTGCTCAAATATCTGTGTAATAGATTCCCCGTGAGAATTAAACACCAGGACTTCTCTAATTGTGTTCCCTTAAGCAAACTAGCCAAGTCTAATAGGCAGGGCCTTACTATACTATCAAATACGCTGCCTGGGAATGCCGAGAACTTTGACAAGGAGGCCAGACCCTAAAGGGTGGCAGGAATAAACAAACAAACAAAAACTAACAAAGATGCAGGTAGAACACAGCCAAGTGAATCCACGTTTTCCTGTTCGACAGGTCAAGTGTGTTTGTTTGTTTGTTTGTTGTTTGTTTGTTTTGAGGCAGTGTCTCACTCTGCTGCCCAGGCTGGAGTGTAGTGGGGTAATCTCGGTTCACTGCAACCTCTGCTTCCTAGGTTCAAGCAATTCTCCTGCCTCAGCCTCCCGAGAAGCGGGGACTACAGGTGTGTGCCACCATACCCAGCAAATTCTTTTGTATTTTTAGTAGAGATGGGGTTTTGCCATGTTGACCAGGCTGGTCCTGAACTATTGACCTCAGGTGATCCACCCACCCCAGCCTCCCAAAGTGCTGGGGTTATAGGTATGAGCCACCACACCCAGCCTATTTTTATCATTCTGTATATACATTCGTGTATACTAAAAAATTAGTAACTAAAACAAGCCTTTAATTTGATACATACATAGTATTTCCTTTGTTAATAAAGAAACAACTGTTGAGATTTCAGATATGTTATAAATATTAAAAGAGTTATGGCTGGGTGCAGTCATGAGTTCAGGAGTTCGAGACCAGCCTGGCCAATAAGGTGAAACCCCATCTCTACTAAAAATACAAAAAAAATTAGCTAGTCATGGTGGTATGGCCTGTAATCCCAGCTACTTGGGAGGCCGAGGCAGGGGAATTGCTTAAACCAGGGAGATGGAGGTTGCAGTCAGCTGAGATCACGCCCCTCCACTCCAGCCTGAGTGACAGAGCCAGACTCCATCTCTAAAAAAAAAAAAAAAAAGAGAGTGAGAGAGAGAGCTATGACTAAACAGATCACCAAAAAATGCAAGTCAATACACATGAGGGTGTAAGTGGTACTGGCAGGGAGACCAGAGATGGTTCTCAGCCTCCTAAGTGCACAGAACAGCCTCACAATAGAGAATTATCCGGTTCAAATGCCAATGGCGCTGAGGTTGAGAAAAACCCGTTTCAAATCACTCCAGACATTTTCAAAGGCAAAAAGACTTGGAAATGCTTGTTTCAATTAAACTTTGAAACAGATGCCAATCCTTTTATAATGCCATACATCTTGCCCAAAGGAAGAACTAATTGCCTTTGAAGTCACAAATAATTTAACCAGATTTCATACTTTGATGTAAGATTCACAAGTGTAGGCTAAAACACATCATTTGTTATCTGCATTTACAAAATGCTAGTCTGTGTGAAGGGCTGTTCTGACTACCGTAGGAAACATGAGCCTTGGAATTTAAACAAGGAAAAAAATGCCCCTTCCCTCCCATGCACTGCAGCACTCTGGGCGTGGGGGAGAGGCGGAGTGAAGGATTCCTGCTAAATGTCCTCCACTTTAGAACCTCAGAAACAACCTGTATGTTCAAAGTGCCACACCTTGCACA